TGACCAAAGCCAGATGAGTTGTGGGATGACATCAAGGACATCATCCATGAAGAAAGAAAAAGGTCGTTAAAAAGATAGGAAAGATCAAAATAGATGTCAGCAGAGACTCTGAAATCTGCTCTGAACAGAGAGTAGCTGAAGCAAATGGAAGAAATGATGAAGTAAAAAATCTGAACAGAAGATTTCAAAGCATGGCTTGAGAAGACAAAAGTATTATTATGAAATATGCAAAGACTTTGAGTTGGAAAATCAAAAGGGAAGAACATACTTAGCATTTCTCAAGCTGAAAGAAGTGAAGAAAAAACTCAAGCCTCAAGTTGCAATATTGAAGGATCCAATGGGCAAAATCCGTATTTGTGCTCATTCCAAAAAAAAGATGATCCAACAGAATGCAGAAATTATCAGACAGTATCATTAATGTCACATGCAACTAAAATAATGCTGAAAACAATTCAAAAACAGTTACAGCAATACATCAACAGGGAACTGCCAGAAATTAAAGCTGGTTTCTGAAGAGTACTTGGAAAGAAGGTTATCTTTGTTGATGTCAGATGGATCTTGGCAGAAAGCAGAGAATATCAGAAAGATGTTTGCCTGTGTTTTATTAACTATACAAAGACATTCAACTCTGTGGATCATAACAAATTATGGATAACATTGTAAATAAGAAATCCATAACACTTAATTTTGTTCATGAGGAACCTGTACATAAACCAAAAGACAGTTGTTCAGACAGAATAAGGGTATATTGCATGATTTAAAATCAGGAAAGGTGTGTGTCGTGGCTGTATTCTTTCACCATACTTTTCATTCTGTACACTGAGCAAATAATCTGAGAAACCAGACTATGTGAAAAAGAATGCAGCATCAGGATAGGAGGAGGACTTATTAACAACCTGCAGTGTGCAAATGATACAACCTTGTTTATGGAAAGTGAAGACTTGGAGCACTTACTGATGAAGATGAAAAACTGCAGCCTTCAATACGAGTTACACTTCAACATAAAACAAAATCCCTACAACTGGACCAGTAAACAGCAACATCATGGGAAGTGGAGGGAAGATGAAAGTTATCAAGGATTTCATTTTACTTGGATCCACAATCAACACTCTTGGAAGCATCAGTCAAGAAATCAAACAATGTATTCCCTCAGGCAAATCTACTGCAAAAGACATTAAGATGTTAAAGAGCAAAGATGTTACTTTGAAAATTAAGGTGCACCTGTCACATGCCATTGTCTTTTCAGTAGTCTCATATGCATGTAAAAGCTGGACAATGGAAAAGGAAGATTGCAGAAGAATTGATGCATTTGAATTGTAGTGTTGGTGAAGAATAGTGAATATACTATGGACTGCCAGAAGAACAAACAGGTCTGTAGTAGAAGAAGTGCAACCAGAATGATCCTTAGAAGCAAGAATTGCCAGACTTCCTCTCATGTACATTAGTCATGTTACTTGGAGGGACCAGTCCCTGGAGAAGGTTATCATGTTTGGTAAAGTAGCGGGTCATTGCAAAAGGAAAGGCTCTCAAGATGGATTGACACAATGGCTGCAAAAAATGGGCTCAAGCACAGCAAGTATTGTGAGGATGGTGTCAGACCGGGCAGTGTTTTCATTGTCTTGTACATGGCATTACTATGAGTCAAACCAACTCAACATCACCTAACAACAACAACAACCCCTTTATTTATCTTTTTCTTCTGAGGGTAGATTGCACAGAGGATTTCTTTTCTGGAGTTAATAATTAGAATGCAGTGATTGTTGCATAATTCTGTGAATAAAGTAAAAACCATTGAATTGTATGGTTTAGCAAGGTGAAGTTTATATGTGAATTATATTTCATTAAAGCTATTAGATTTTTTAAAAAACAGTTGGCTTTGAAAAGGAAGAGGGATACTTAATTCTCTGAGACTCATAGAAAGGAGCTTGAATGGGTGCACGTGCTCGTGAATTAGTTGTTGACCGCTCCTATAAGCGACAGTCACATCTACTCTGCTAGCTATTCAATAAATCCATGTGGATGCTCTATACACATATTGAAGTCACCATCATTGTTATCCAGTAGTAATGAAATCCAAGCCAGCTGTGCAATTTTTTTATTTTGTAATAGCCACATTAAAAAAGTTAAAAAAACGGGGAGGGGGGATCGGATTTAATTTTAGTAATACTTTTATCTAATTTCATTACATCAAGATATTACATTTTACGATATAATTAATATAAATGTATTAATGAGATATTATGTTTTTTCATATTAAGTTTTTGCAATTCCATGTCTATTTTACGTTTACGGAAAATGTCAGTTCAGTCCCACATTCCAAGTATTTATTAGCCACAAGTCAGTATTGTCTACCATATTGGACAGTGCTGCTGAACATGTTTAAATGGAACTCATCAGCTTATTCCTGTCTTACTTAGCTCTCCTGCTTTTTATTTCCTAAAATCTTGCAAAGCCATCTCTTCCTGTGTAACTGTTTGTACCATTGCCCCAGTTTCAGGCCTCATCATTTCTTACTTAGGCTTTTGCAGTAACCTCCCATCTGGTCTTCCTGTCACTGCTTTTGCCCCATAAATTATTTTACATTGTAGCCAGAGTCTCTGCCTAAATAAAAATGTTACTTGGCCACTTAATACCATTTACTGGTTTCAAAATATTTCAGTAATAGTCTCTGAGGCAAGATACCTATACCACAAGGGGTACACAAGATGATTCTTTGGAAATATGGAAAAAAGAAATCTAACCTCATCTCATAATTTTAAAAAGTACATATTCAGTATCTCTTTCTTAATGTGCCTAACACAAACAGCAGAACATAAAAATAATTTGTAAATGATTATAATTATACTGATGAAGTAAGATGAAGCTGGGTTCCTCTCCATGACATTGAAGGGCCTGGCCCCTTATCTGCCTTTCTGCTTCATCTCTTGCCTTTCACTTTATATTCTGCTAGGAGTGCACTGTTTGTTTATAAGTCTCTTGCACATACCATCTGTTTCACCCTTTCATGTCTTTGCTGCTGTTGATGCCTCTGCCTGGATGCCTTTTCTAGCTTTCATCATTTGGCTCACTCTTACTCATCATTCTTCCCCAGCAAGTCTTTCTCCTCTAGGGTGGACTAGATGCCCTCTTCTCAATTACCATAGATCATTTTGTGAGTTAGCATTTACCTTATTATATTGAACGTATCTGTCATTATAGGTCTGTTTTATTTCTTCCTTATTTCCAAAGGCGTATTGAGGAGAAGAATTTTGCCTTAATTCTTTTGTATACTTCCAACTCCTAACATCAAAGGTTAGACCTAGGCACTAATCAAATTTAAAATAATTAAATTATTATTTAAATTATTATTTACTCGTTCCTCTAAGGTCAGATATGCTGCCACCCTCCAAACTTTTGCCAGTTCGGACACCTACCATCTACATCTCAACTGGGTTCAGTGATTTGTGGCAGTGACCACACAGAACTCTCACACAATACTCATGATTATGAGGTTTGTTAGGGAAGTAACAGGTTACAATCCAGGATCAGAAACAAGTCAGGATACAGTTCTTCATCGGGGCAGCTCCGTATCAGCTGTTCCATAGGCATGCTTCTCTCTCGGCTTCTGCTTTGCTCAGGGTAGTGTCACAAAGCTCCTTCAACTTTACCAATAGGTGCCCAAAGAGGCATCCCACTCTTGCCTGAAGGTACTCAGCTTTCTTGTACCATGGGCCAGGGAGCCCACCACTCCATCTCATGCCAGTCTCTTGGTTCTGCCATCATCTTTCTGCCATCTCTCTCCACTGCCAGCTCTTTTCTCTTGATGGCAGTGAGATCCCCCTTTTCCATCTTTGGCATGACTCATTTTAACCGTAGCAGAATGGCAAAACTGACTAATCCCCAAGTTAGGGTTCCATACACCTTATTTCCATATCCCACTCCCACAGGAATGCCACGTTCCTTATTGTTCTGGTTACCTAGTGCCACTCTGACACAAATTTACCACAAATGGGATGGCCTTAACAAACAGGAGTTTATTATCTTACAGTTTGGAGGCTTTAAGTCCAAGTTCAAAGTGCCAGGCTCTAGGGGCTGGGTGAAAGCCCTTCAACCTTGGGGTCCAGTTCTGCCTCCTGCTCCTGGCCCACTGGAGCTAGAGGCATTTCTTCACTCAGACAGCTGCTTGCTGCTGAGACTGAGAAGCCCAAGGTTGACAAGTAAAAAGGCACAGTCCCGATGTTACCAAACCACACGGCGGGCCATTAATTTAAGTCCATTGTAAATCCCAAGGTCAGCAGAGCATGGCAGGCTGCTGAACAATGACTTGGCTACATGAAGGGTCCAAGCATGCCATAGGCTAGAGACCATTCCCTAAGGCTTCTGCTTGTATATAGGAAGCAGACCACATCCCTAGGGCAGCTAGTAAGCTGCTCACAATAGATTCCACCATGGAGTTGATGACCAGTCTCATCATGGGGAATACTACATCTAGCTGCCCAGCCAGTCAACCAGGCCTAGCCAAGTTGACACACAAACTAAACTACCACACTTATTTATAATATTTGCAAGCTATGTAATCTTCTTGATGGGCCACAAAGCACCTCGCATTTATACAGTCCCATTCAGTCATCTGGTGAGAGTCACAAAGGTGGTGTCCAAAAGAGCCATGTTAAGTAATTCACAGCACCACAGATGTGCAAGGGCAGGGTTTTTGTTTTTTTCCACTGACTTATTCCCAGGGCCTAGAACAATGCCTTGTATATAATAAATAGATAATCAGTAAGTATTTTTTGAGTGAATGGTGTGCATAGAAAAGCACTCTAGTTTCCTTCTTTATTAGGCTTTTAAGACAAAAACTAAAAGCATATCCTTATCTCTAATTCAATTTAAACTTTTACCACCTAAGAAAAAAATTAAATGACTGTCTTCTCTATTGTTTTGTACAGGAAGTCTTTAACAAGCATAATAAAGTATAAAGTTTTTTTTGTGTGTGTGTTGTTTTTGTTTTTATTCTCTTCTAGTAAACGAAGCAAAAAAGGAGATAAAAATGGAAAAGGCTTGAGACATTTTTCAATGAAAGTGTGTGAGAAAGTTCAGCGGAAAGGAACCACATCATATAATGAAGTAGCTGATGAACTGGTGTCAGAGTTCACCAATTCAAATAACCATTTGGCAGCTGATTCGGTAGGTAGATCATGAATTATGAGTGATTCAGCAGTGTGTTTTGGGTTGTCTGTGTCATAGATTTGAGGAATCAGATGAGTGAGGGAGTCTCCCAACTTCTTTACTTGAGGTTTTCATATTGTCTCTTGGGGATTTGTGTGATTGATTTTTGTTTGTTTTGTTTTAAGAAAGATTCTTTTATTATTTATTTAAATGTAGATTAACAAGTATATTTTTCATAAATATTTCTGCCTAGGAGACTATGGAGCAGTTCTACTCTGTCCTATATGGTAGCTAAATCAGAATCAAGTCAATGGCACACAACAAAAATAACTGAAGGAACATGTTTGGTTTTTTTTAAATATACTTTTTATATTTGATCAATTTTCCAATGACTTTGGATACATTTCTTAATCTTTTAGTGTTTTCTTAATGTCTAAGTGAACAAGAAAATTTAATTTTTGATTGAAAAAGTAATACATGTACATGTTTATTTAAAAAATGCAGGTGTGCCAAAGAATGCATAATGAAAAATAATCTCCTTTCTACCACAGATCCCAATATACCCCTGAAAAGTCAGTATCACTATTAAATAGAAGTGTGATCATGCTTTGCGTGATGAATTTGTCTCTTACAATATAGCTTGACGATTTTTTTCCCTGTATTTTTCATGCCTCTGCTTTATTCTGGATATTTTCTGATTTCTACTTCAGTTCACTGATTCTCTGTAGAGCTATGTCTAAGCCACTGTTAAAAAGCCATTAGCTAAGTTCTGAATTTTAGTTATATTCTGCAATTCTAAATCCTAGAATTTCTTTTTGTTTTTTTCAAACACTTTGCTAAAATTCTCAACTTTGTTTTTGGATCTTTGAACATAGTTTGTATAGTTATTTTAAAGTTTGTGTCTGATTACACCATTATTTGAATCTTCTGAGGTTATCTTTCTGTTGTCTGTTGTTTTCCATCACATTGTCTTACTGCCTTTTGCCTGTAGTTGTACTTGTAGAAATAATTTGAGACTTAAGATATATCTTCTTTGAGAAAGGATTGATGTAGATAGCCAAGAACGTTAGCTCAAGGATGTCTTAATTCAGTGATTGAGTTAAATTAAAATGGTCTTCAGGCTTACCCTTATTTTAAGGTTGCGACTTGAGACTCTAACCAAAGAGTGGTATTTCATCTACGATTATAGTATTTTCTTAAAAACTTTTCTTCTAAAAATGTGGACATTTCCATCAGCTCTGGTGTTTGTTAGCTATGTGACTTTGGATAGATTACTTAACCTCTAAGTCTCAATCTCCTTGTTACCTAATGGATTTAATAGTACTATCTGCCTCATAGGTTGTTGTGAGGGTTGAATGTGATAGTGCCTATAAATCACGTATTTTATCATTATTATATTCAGTATAAGTCAGAATGGACTCAATGGCAATGGGTTTGGTTTGGTTTGTCTTCAGTAATATATTGTGGACCTTTCTGTGTAATGATTACTCTATGCATTATAGATAAAATGTATTTTTTAATGATCCCTCCCATTATAGCCTTGGATTCTAGTAGACTAACATATTTTAAAACACAATTATGCATAATAAAGAAATGGAAAGTATATACTCTCTGGAAAGTACAGATAGTCTCTAATTTTCAACATATTTAAATTATGACAAACCACACTTAACACTTGTCTGGTTTTTTGTTTTTGTTTTGTTCTTTTGTACATCTTATCATTAGTAGTATGTACTATACACAGTGTTATAGTGCATAATTTGCTGATGTTATTGCCATATAGCAGGCTATGAAAACTGAAAAAAACAAAAAAAGAGGTATTTGACTTACATCTGAACTGACTTACAATTGAATCGTTGGAAAAGAATCCCATCGTACGTCAGGGACTACCAGTATATACAGAGTATAACCAACAAACCAAACCAAACTCATCATCATCAAGTTGATTCTGACTAATAGCGACCCCCTTTGGGTTTCCGAGGCAGTAAATCTTTACAGAAGTAGATTGCCCCATCTTCCTTCTGTGGAGCAGCTGATGGGTTTGAACCACCAACCTCCTGGTTAGTAGTCAAATGCCTTAGGCACTGCACCACCACAGCTGCTTATTTAGGGTATGTTGTTGTCACGTGTCGTCGAGTCAAACCCGACTCATAGCGACCCCTCCTTGGGTTTCCGAGGCAGTATCACTACGGAAGTAGGATTGCCCAACCTTCCTTCCGAG